CAATCCATACCAACCCCCCCCCCCCCCCCCTCTCTCTTATACACATACACACACGTTAAATGCTCATTAAATCTAGGAGTAGAGGGATACAGGAGTAATACTTAAACTGGCCATTTACCAGTAGAACTCAGTTCGATAAATTTTGTTTTCAGAAAATTTGATCGATTTTCTAATAGTTAATGGGGTAAAATTGACTTTGACCATGTGTCAAAAATTTGAAGGAGCAGGATGGAAAACTTTTACTCCATTCATTTCTAAAATCGAATGTTAAACAGAATTTCGAATAGCATACTGCAAGTTTCATTATCGATTGTTCCGATGAATTTTTTGGTATGAACATTCGTATGGAAATCTACCAATGTATGGCCAGCTTTATTCCTTGCTCTGGCAGGCTCCATCTGTGAGACTTGTCCCTCAAATCCTCTGCTACTGACCATGGTCGCACCCCTGCCTTGTCCACATACAATGCAGGGCTAATAGCCATAGTGATGATGCAGAAGAATTGCCCACAGCCTGGAGTGTCGGAGAAGAGGAAAGCGCCAGAACCTGCTGGAACTAGGGGAGTTAAGATAAGTAAACATGCCTCTTCATTTACAGCTAGACTTAAAGTGACATTAAACCCTCAGATTTTTTAACATAAAACAATACTGTAATGTGTACCTTACTGTAATCCATGGTTGTTTCCCTTCTTTAATCGACTTTTTTGAGGTTGTGGATTTGGGGTTCTTGGGGTTTTCATGAGCTGTAAGCCATAATAATCATCACAATTATGACAAATCACTATCTTGAACTATCTTGCTTTGCATGTAATGAGTCTATCTCATATATTAGTTTCACCTTTTAAGTTGCATTAGTGAAATAAATGAACTTTGCACGATATTCTAATTATTCGAGGCAAGGCAGTCTGCTGCAAAACAGAAGTTCTGCCCAGCATGAGAACAGATACAGATTTAAAAGGAAGGGCAGCAAATAGAAGGGAAACAACCATGGATTACAGTAAGGCGCACATTACAGTATTGTTTTATGTTTAAAAAATCTGAGGGTTTAATGTCACTTTAAGCATTTAACGCTTGCAATGCTTTGGGTTTCTACACCCTATAGTTAAGGCTTAAAATATTACCTCCTTATTATTGACATTCTTTGTAATCAGAGTTGTCCCTAGCCTATTCGCTGCGGGGGGTGGGTGGGGCAGCCCACCACTGATGTCACTGGTTACCTGGATGTCCGGCCCAGATACTGACAACCAACCTGGATGCCAGGTTGAGCTGGGCAGGAACCTGGCCAGAGTACCCCAGGTTGCTAAGATCTGGGTGTGGAGATGTGTATT